ACAGATCTTGGGCCTGTTGCTTTGCCTCCACTGCTTGATCTAGATCTGCTTGTATCTGTCAAGCTCAGATCCTCTTGTCTTGCGAAGAGAGGGGGAGTGGACAAATCGTTTCGGCCAATAGCAGAATATGGACACTCCGGACTTGCAGATCAACATGAAAATTCTGACGAGGACGTCAGAGAGGCTTTGGAGAGCAGCCTATGCGGCGTCTCCGTTGAAAAATCATGCTGAAAACAAGTCTACTGTTTAGAGAAGGGAGATGCTAGTCCTACATGTCGGGGTTGTGATGAGTATTTTAACCAGTACAAGCCTGTGGCAACTTCCAATAGTAGTACTATTGTGTAGCCACTGACGATGCATGTTCTCATAGTGTAGTGGTAGCGTTGTATTCCAGTGAAACATTCCAACAATAGCCATGTGTTGTAACTTAGTAGCATCGCAGATCTGAAGGAGTACTTAGAACGAAGATTTGCAGGGATGTATGGTCACGATACATCTCGCCATGCACAGTTTCAAAAAATTTGCGATTTTATGCCCCTCCACATGGCATAGGTAATGAGATTCGTTCTGTGGTTCTGTTTTAGGGCAATCACACGTAGAATATTTCAAGCTAGGAAGTCAGTCAGCGAGCCAAATACAGTCTGACCAGACCTAGCTGACTTCAAGTTCCCGTCAACAATCCTACCAGATGAACCCCAACATCACTCGCCAGCCAGAGGCCAAGTTTAACATCTCTCGTTGACTTAGGTGCACCTCAACGAGATATGTATCGACAAACCTACCCAATCACAATCAATGTCCGTCTCATTGCCGACGAGTTTCCATCATTTCATATTGGACAAACTTCGGCCCTAGGGGTCACTCTTTGCATAAGAGCTATATTCCAAGTCGCAGTTCAAACTTCCATTCCCTTTCTTACAAAGTGAAGGCTCCGTTCTACAAGTTATTTTCAACGAATTCAGCATGTATTCATGAAAGATTGATAATCGATGCATCGAATAAATGCCATAAGATGTTACATATTCTCATTCCTATGACTCAAGACAGGAAACAGAGAACGACCCGGAACTCGGAGCCGACCCAAAAGTCAGAGCTGACCCGGAATTCAGAGAAACCCTTCGTTAACACCTATTGATCTGCAACCTTGATCACCGCCTTTGCCTTATTCTCGCCCTTCTGTACCCTCAGAATCACATCATCAACTTTGTCCAGCCCCTCCGTGACCTCCTCAGTGTATTTAAGTTCACCCCTTGCAAGTTTCTTGGGAATGGTGGCGTAGAACTCCTCGCGGTATTTGTGCTCAAGCTTACCAACAGTAAAACCTTGCACAGTGATATTTTTACCAGCGACGAGCATCAGGTCCTGCATTATAAGATGATGGTTGGGTATTTGCGGCAATGAAGTAATGCTGAGCTCACATTGAAATGTTGACCGCCTGTATTGTATCTTGTAATCTATCATTGTAAGTTTGCCAAAACAGTTCACTGGTCACTATTACCAGAAATCATCCCGCATTCCTACATTCGATGCGGAATCAACGAAAAACAGCGCAATCCCAACATACACTTCACAATGAATCTCGCGCTAACAGCAACCGCTACGAGCACTGCATCGAGCGTCTCCCCACCAACGTTATCCCAGTATCTATGGAGCCATATGAGCCATATGGGCAAACAGCGTCCAACTGCGCACACACCAATGGGCCCTTCCTTCTCCAAACCTTTGTCCGTGCTCTTGGTCTTATAATTGAACGCCACATTGGCCCCGATGCTCTTCATGAACGCGACTGGCTTGTCAGATCCAGCAGAGACAATTTGAGGCCGTCAAGTTTTGTGAGTTAAATAACAAGGCTGTCGAAAAGGTGAAATAAGGCAAAGGTCATTATGCTCCGTGAAAAAGACGCACGTACGATACAACCGGTCCTAACTGTAGAGTCAATAGTAAAATTAAGGGGAATGGGGCGTACCTCCATTGTCGTAACGAATGCTACCACCCCTTTCTTCGCCTTCGAATATTCCTTCCACGCGTAATATGCAGTCTTTCCCGGCATACCCGCAGCGCCAATATACGCGCTCCAAGGTAGCCCAACCTTGTCTTTGATCACCTCCAAAATGCCCAAGTCCAGCTGTACCGCGGGGAAAATGCTGTACTCAGAGTGCGAAAGGTAACCATAGATGTGGTCTCCGGCTTTGATGGTTGGGTATCATGAACGAAGAACAACCACGATGCCATGCGAGCTGAGACTATTAGACCCTCAATATTTATTGAGTGAAGGCTGAAGGACGGGGCTTACGGTTCACCCACTATGAATGGAGGCTAATTGTAAAAAAAGGCCATATTAGCCTATGTTCAACAAGGCGCCAATCATCCCACCGAATAGCTCTTGACATCTGGGGAGTGCATTTTACCCCTCATATAGGGATCGACCAAAAAGAAAGAGCAGCTTAAGCAGCACATCACCAGTCAGAAGTACATTCTCGAGGTCAATTGTCGAGCTGGTGTCGTAAACTGTTGTTTCTCCTGGAGCGGGGTACCCTGCACAAATAATGGTTAAAGCGAGAGCTCAATGAATTATGGTGAGTAAAACATGCCTCTAGGAACAGAGCTGAAGAGAACGCGTCCATTTCTTGTTGGCGCCATGGCCTCGTGAATCGTAACTCGTCAAATGTTCAAAGAAATCAACGATGATGTCAGTTCTGTGTAGTTGCGTGGTTGCAACTTCATGTAAAGCCTTATAAGATCGCCCTTTTGAGTATCCCGATGAAGCCTTAGACTCGATGATTCTTGATTTCTAAGAACCCTTGGGAACTTGAACAGTAAGCTGCGGTGGAATGACATGATATGGGAAGATTTTCACGCATAGAAGATCTTGCGTGTAATGGTCTGGGAAGAGATAACTCGTGCTTGGCTTTATTTGCTGAAGGAGTAGTGGGGATAAGTGGGTCGAATGATATCATTGTTCGAGGAGTGGGGGAGAAGTAAGTAGGGAGAAGTGCCGTGGGTCAAATCAAATGATGAAGCGACATCTAATCCAATTTGACCTTGAAATCTTATCGATCTTATCTCTGGTTGTCCAAAGTGTGCAATGTGCTCTTACAAGAATCGTGAGTATTCGGCCAACTCCTCGAGGTCGAGATGGTCTACCGATCCACGAGAAATAACATTCTCTGAGTACAGCGCTCGCCCAATCTGATCTCACCTTCGTGCTAGCTCAGCTCACTCACCCCAATAGCGCACACGGACAACTCATCCTTACGTGCCGCGGGAGTGAATATCTACCACCAGAGTCCATACCGCACCGAACTTGTAGCAGCTAGAGCATGACGGATACGTGTACCCGCTGGAGATGTACGTTCTTGGAAAAGAGTCAACGTTAGTTCAAGGGTTTCTCCTGTGAGTTGTGCCTGCATGGAAGTTTTATTCCAAAGTAATATGATGGGGTGGAATCTTAGGAGATATTGTGGAAGCAATGACGCACAAAAATGTTGTTGAGCAGGCTGCCCGTGTTTGAATTCTGCTGGCATTCCTGTTTGAATAATTTCGAATGTTGGTATATCTCTTTACAAGAGCGGCAGGCACTGTCGCAGCCATGAAAGCATGGTGACATGGCCGAGCGGTCTAAGGCGCCAGAATCAGGATCTGGTCCGAAAGGGCGGGAGTTCGAATCTCCCTGTCATCACTTAGACAAGCCAGAATTTTTTGCTTGAGCGGTCACGCTGACAAGGTGGAAGTCTTGCCCCTGGATATTGTCAGAAGACGAATAGGTCGCAGCATATGAACGCTGAATGTTGCGGCCGCAATCCTGGTTGTCGTTCAGCAAGGTTGTGATCCTCATCATTGTTGACTTGATGGATGTATGATCCCTCGACCGCCCGATTAGTTGAGAGGCGTAATCCTTGACCTTGAGAAACGCGCCACAATCTTGAAATAATTCAATAGCGTCTCAGACAAGTTCACGGAAGATCCGGGGATTTGCTTGGCGTCTATGTTAAAGCTTGTGGCACGCAGATAGGTCGATATGAATGTGTACAGACACACTCCCTGGAAATGTGCCGCCTCAAATTCTTCGGTAAGTTTATTGTTGATAAGTATATAAGGTGGAAAGCCATGCATTAGCATTGTTTTTGCATCTGCAAAGAAGACAGTCCTTTTGTCCAGCTTCAATGTGATGGGTGTATTTTCAGGCTGAGACTGGATGCTCGCCACAAGGGATGCTTCTGGTTGGTGGCCAACAGGGGGTGGGACTCTGAGAAAAAAGAGGAAAAGTAGATCTCCTTCACTATTATTACATCGTCTATAGTAGTTATTATGCTGTGTCTACACCAGTCACCTACAGTCCTCGCCTGAACCTCCTCAACAGGAATCGCCCTTATTCAACCAACGTGGTTTATGAGAAGTGCTCATATAGGACATTACGTCTTTGTAGGCCCCGAACGACATTGATCGCTCCCATTGTCTACGCTGGTATGTTAAAAGGATGAATGGAAAGGCAAGGAAAAGAATGACGACAGATGCACCAACCTGCGACTCGTCAGTCAGTGGCTCAACAACACCTCCTGACAATAGATTGTTCTTTTCAATCCCAAGGATAGGATTCTGTAAACCTCTCCTGTAAACAATTCAGATTGAGAATGAATAATGATAACAGAGAGGTACACACCTGTCCTTTTGACTTGTCTCTTCATCTAGGCTGTGATCAATTTGTGTCATCCTCTTCCTGATAACTGTGGCATACTGTTTTAATATAGGATCATACACAACTCCCGTTGATGAGATGTATATTCCCCTTTGCCTGAGTTTCAATCTCTTATCTGGTCCCAGATCGGGCAGGATGGGTGTGGGTAGCTCCATGATGTCTTGAAATTCTGGATTTTCTGACAATGATGGATGTTGAAAGACAGCTTAGAGCTGTAAGAAATTGAGTGAATAATGGACTCACTTTCATTTTAGAAAGTGTTTATAACTGTTCATGTTTCCCTTTGAGATCTAAAGCAGTGTTACTATGAATACAAGATGGGAAGCAAGAGTACTTTCTGAACAAGGTCAGACAAAAGGAGATGGATATATTCAAGCACATATATTGTCAATGCAATGTGAACAAGGTCAGGCAAAAGCAGTTGCATAGATACATTCAAGCACATATATTGTGACCATAATCTGACAAGACCACCATTTGGATCCTTTTCACTGCTGGCCAAGGCAAACAAGAAGTAAATACTTACCTTATATATTGAGGTTATTATACTTGGTTCCCTTATTATTACATCACATATAAGGGCAATGGACTACAAGCATGAGAGAATGAAAATAACTCATAATGGAATACACCTTGCTATGTAGAGCAAATATGGAAGGAAAAAGTGGGTCCAGGTGGAGTTTGAAATAACTTGGCTCTTGAATCAAGCAAGTATGAAGGGGGTGTTGCTCAGAAGTAATTCAACATCAGATCCCTTTCTATTCTTTCACCTGTATCTTTCCCTTTATCTCTTTCCCTCTCTTTCTTTGTCTCTTCCCCCTTTCCTTGCCTTTGTCAAACATAGATATATATACCTGTGAGCCAGTTGCCAAAGACCTCTTCCTTTCACATGGCGCTCACAGGTAAGTCTCACTACAATACTGTCATAGACATCCTCTCACACAGTGCTTGCAGCTGCCTTGGATTAGACCATCTCATACAGCTATCATGCTTTTGCATCATGTCTGATGTCACATGTTTTTTTCACATCAATCTATTTTGTCCCACCAGTGCATGAAAGGATCATCTAAGTCATCATCTACACCCTCCAGAGGTCCTGGTGGCTGCTTCATCTCAGCTACTACTTCAGCCCCTCCAATTCCTGATGCCATCCCCAGTCACCAAATGACCATGTCATTCCCATTTCTTAAAGAATTGTCCGAGCTTTGCACTTCAGTCATGTATCTCACTGAGATCATGAAAGAAATGGCTCTGAAAATCATGCCCAGCCCTGCCTCCAGTGCACTGTTACCTGTAGTAGCCCCAGTGGTACCACCTGTCAAGTTTGTGCTACCTACATCCCTGACAAATGCCAACGGTGCATCTCCTCCACATTCCCTTTGCTTCTGTTTCCCTGACATTGAGGCAGCAATCATTGTGGCCATCATCATCATACATGAATTCAAAGCTGCCAATTTGCACAAGCTGGACCCAACCAACTGCAACAAAGAGATGGCCTACACCTTCAATAGTTCAACAAACCAGTTCAAGCTCAGCACCCATGCAGCAAAGAAATACAAAACCCCTTTTTCTGTCATTGTCCCTCTCCAGCACTATTTTCGCATCCTCTCCTTCTATGTCAATAAGATGACCATCCCTGACATCTTTTACCAGTATGTTGTGCATCCCCTGGAACTCA